TTGGTCTTGGAAACAAAAACCTGATGCGATTGTCACTTCATGATAATCGTTCTTTCACCAAGTTCAATTTAAAAAAACAATTTTAGCTTACTTTTATGTAAAACGTAATTAATAGCCATTGACATCTACGAATTGGCAAGTGGAATTTGAATTCAAGATTGACGGTGTCAATCCTAACATCTATGGTGACGGAATGGCCGTATGGTTTACCACAGACCGCGCAAAGCCTGGCCCTGTCTTTGGATTTATCGATAAATTTGAGGGTTTAGGCATATTCTTCGATACATATGCAAACGCTAGGCACTCTGTGCGTATTATCATGGAATTTTTGTTGATCACCTTTTTCACATCATTTCTTACTAATTGTTCCATACTCAATTAGCATACCTTTCCTTATGTAATGGCCATGATGGGTGACGGAAACACCGAATATGATCATGATAATGATGGTAAAGCAAACCAAATTGCTGGATGCGAAGTAAGAATAGAGTTGCATTACTGTTGACAATCATAATCATAATTCGACATTTAACACGTTTTTCTTTGTAGGCCGACATACGTGGTAAATCAATTGCCACAAAAGCACGTATCACGTATTTCAAGAATACTTACCTCGAGGTGAGGTTTATTCTCGTGTTCTTGTTTTTTTTTTTCCTTCTTATTAATAATTTCTTGTGGTCGCTCGTTTAATGTTCATTTGTTCTTTGTGTTGTAGGTCAAATTACAATACAAAGCAGTGGATCAATGGGAACCATGTTTTACTATCCCTAATGTCACAATCCCAGCGGTTGCTTACCTTGGTTTCAGCGCATTGACCGGTGATGTTAGCGGTACATATAACGATGATTATTGATATCATATCTTTTCCTTTCCTTTCCTTTCCTTTCCTTTAACTCATCCTTTTACTTTTATGCCAATAACCATAGATGCCCATGATATCATCAGTGTCACAACCAATAATATTATCGCCCTTCAACCACGAGTTCATAAGGTATTGTTCTCGACATTGACTGTCTTGCTTATCATTGGTGTTGCACACAGAAAATAACAACTAACTTCCTCAAATTTAGCCAATCACACGACAACAAGAATTATCGGTTTCTAATTGGTCTGGATTCATGTTTATTCTCAAGATTATTGCTACAACCGCATTTGTTGCTGTTTTAGTCTTGGTATACAGGATGTACAAAAGCCAGTCGAACAAAAGGTTTTAACGTTTAACTTCGTGGACCATAATCTTTGTTAGAATGTAAATTTTCGGTTCGAAACTATTACCAAAAAACTTTAGACGACCAAATTATCATAATTACTTGTTTTTTTGTTTTTTTTTTAAGCGAAAATTCTAGTTAACCTTAAAAGGTTGAGAATCTCAATTTATTTAATAAATCAAAAAATCAATGTTTTTTTTTTTTTCTGAAAATTACCATTGTGATTAACTGCGGAACCTGTTGTAAAATTTTAAGTACATTTAATTATAACAAATTTCATATTCAACATGAAAAAACAGCACTCTCCATTTCCTTGAGCTTCTTTACAAGTTTACTTTATGGATAAGTTCTTGAAATATCATCTTTTTTCCAATATTAACCATTGGATCAATTACCTAAAAAACAATGGTTTTATACTTTTATTTATTTATTATTCATGATAAAATATAAACTAATAAGTTTAACGTGACGTTAAACCTTATTCATTAACACATTTCAAATGATAATATATTTATATCTGATTTTTTTTATCATTTATTATATACAGAATGTTCAGGAATTATAAGTTTTTTTTTGATATTAAACATGAAATTTTCCATGTGAATATATGTTAATCAAAAATTCATTGACTTTAATTATTTTAAGTAAGTTTTTTATATGCAATATAAAATATTTTTTTTATATTACTAAAAAATTTTATTAATAAATAAATATATTTATATATTTGATATTTTTTTTATTGATCAAATTTGATTTGATATTTTATAAAATTCAATATATATATATATTTTTATTTTTTTATTTATTTAAGATAACTTATACAATCAATTAATTTTTTATTAAATAAAATAAATTTTAAATATTGTAAATTCAGTATATACAGTATATATATATACATATATATTTAATAAAAATTTTAATAATTTTTTGTATAAATATTTATTTGTATATTTAAATCATATTTTTTTATTATTATTTTAATTGTGTTACTTATCAATATTGATTTTTATATTAATTTCAATTTGTAAAAAAAAAATTGTATTTGTACTTTTTAATAATTTTAATAATAAAAATAAAATTTTATATAATTTATTATTTATATTAAAAAAAAAACCTTTTTTTAAATGCATCTATTTTGTTAAAAAATTTTTTTTATTATAATTTTTTGTCAAGAAAAATATTTTATACTTTTTTTTATAAATAAGTTTTAGTTTAAAAATTTAAGAATTCTTAAAACAGTTAATATATTGAAATAAAATTTTTAATTAAAATTTATTTAATATAATGTTTTACTTATTTTTTAATTATATTAAAAAAAGTTTATAATAGTTTCTTATATTTTTTTGTTTTTTTATATTTTTTTTCATTTTTATAATATTATAAATATCATTTATATATACAATAACTCTATTTATATACTTATTAAATTTAAAAATATATTTCAAAAAATATATTCAAATAAAAAATTATTGAAATTATTGTTTATTTTAATACAATCTTCTCAAATAATCTTATTATAATAATATTTATTATACTATTTAAAAAAATTTAAAAAATTAAATAATAATTAAATTTAAAAATATAACTTTTATTTTATAAATTTTATAATTTATTAGATTTAATTTTAGTTTTAATTATTTAATTATCTACTTTCTTTTTATATTTTTATATTTTTCTTTAAATAGATATTTTATACGTATATAGTTGCTATTTAATTATATCTAATATATTAATATTGTTTCAAAATTTATTTTTAATATTAGTTAGATATAAATTATATAAATAAACTAATATTTAACTTATTGTTAATACATATAAAAATATTGTTTCTTTTATAATATATATTTTTGTTACATACAAAATCAAATAAAGAAATAATATTTACTTATTAAAAGTTACCAAAATTTATAAAAGTTTTTTTATTTGAGTTTAAGGGTTTAAATACATAGTATTAATATTTTGTAATTAAGTTTTTAAATTAAAATTAAATATATAATTTAAATGATTTAAAAATATAATTTTATAATTTATTTCATTTTAACTTACAATGTTTTACAGTTTCTATTTAACAGCATTTCGATTTTTTTTAATTACAAAATATGTAGTAATTTATAAAGTTAAAAAAAAAAAAAAAATATCGTATCAATACCTTTATGTAAAGTTAACTAATTAATTTTTAATTCGTATACTGTAAATCATGCTTAATAAGCAATAATCCAAGTTGTTTAATAGTCGCTATTTTGACTTTGAATAAGGATGTCGGAAATTGGAAATTGCCTCCTAACTAATTAACAAATATCAAACATTTCCCTGTTAGATGAGTAAATTATTGTTTGAAGTTTAATACAGAGATCATTGGCGCCACGTTTTACATATATATATGACCCTTTCTTCGAACGTTTATTCCCATCTATTCAGATTGACTTTCTTACATCGATCCTCTCAATTTCTGCGTTTTCATCATCCCAAATATTTTCACCACATGTCTCATCCATTGGTCGATAAACCCGTTCCAAAAGATATAACCTTAAAAAATCAGGACAACGAAGATGTTAAATTAGATTCGTTGATTGCCGGAAAACCTTCCGTTGTATTTTTCTATCCAAAAGACGAAACTTACGGTTGTACTAAAGAGGTAGATTTTTTTTTTTTTGATATTCGGAGGAAATTCATAACCGTGCACGATTAATCTACTAATTTATTTCATTTATCGATGTTTCGACCGACCTAACAGGTTTGCTCTTTTCGCGATTCCTATGAGGAATTCTCGAAAGTTGGCGCAACGGTTGTTGGCATTTCAGCTGATCCTCCCGAAAGTCATAAGAAATTTATTAGTAGTCAGAAATTGCAATTTCAACTACTATCTGACACAGAAGGAAAGGCTAGGAAAGCCTTTGAGGTTTGTATGATCTTTAAAATATATATATATATATATGTAATTTTCCAACATAATCAATCAATCTTCACTTTTTTTTGAATTAATAGGTTCCTAAAACTCTTGGTTTCTTGTCCGGTCGTATTACTTACCTTATCAGCAAAGATGGAATTGTCAAGGATATTTTCAATTCCCAACTTAATTTTACAGGTCACGCCGAAAAGGCCGTTGAATTTGTTAAAACACAAGTCGAACCAGTGACTTAAACATAATATGGTTTTACGAAAATAAAACAAGCTTTTTATTTTTTTTGCATTTTTATTCAAACATGAACTATAAAAATTCTATTATCAAACAAATATGGGAAATAAAGCAATAATAGGGAATATCCAGGGTCAGTGGTAATATATATTTATCTTCTTGACCTTGCCATATCCATCAAAGCTAAAGAATTCCGTGATTGTCCTGTTGACGTTGGAATTTGTGAATATTGGTTATAAGGATTGAATGGAAATGGTAGGAATCTCTGGGTTCACCTCTGGCAGGGGATGCATTAAACGTATGATAGACCAACTTTTTTAAATGATAAGTTCTTTACCATTTCTCAACTACGATAACAAACCTCCCGAAGGTCTTGTCTGTTGATACCCTTGTTGTGTTGAACCAGATCCATTGATTATTTGTGGTCTAGGAGGTTGTGAAGGAGTCACACTATTCGTTCCAGTTGCATAACCCCCATACACATTTGAGGGCGGTACTATGGGTGGTGGTCTTGGAATTACACCTGCAATTTGAGGCGAACCTCCAATTATTGGTGCTCTCATAGCCATAAGTGGTGGCGGTATGCCCATCGGTCGCACGTCAGCAAAAAGACGATTTGGCAAACTTTGATTTTTCTTTGCTTGAGCCGCCAATAGACGCTCTAAAAAGATATTAATGTGTTTATAAATACACAAGGTTTGAAAGGAAATCACCTCATAAGTAAAATAGAATTTACCTGCAGCACTACCATGTCTCTCGCCTTTGCCATCTTTTTTGAATGCATATGACACGGTAATTGGTTTATTCATCAAGTATTGGCCATTCATAGCATCGATTGCCGCATCAGAAGAGTCAAAGTTGTCATATGAGATAAATCCATATCCTTTGCTATTTCCGGTATCAGGGTCCCTTGCAATCTTTATAAAATAATTGGATATAACGTGTTAGAACAAAATTGTTAATTTAATAAAAGTATAATTAAATAAGTTGATTTGAACACCTTTGGCGTCTGCACAATGACTCCAAATGCACTGAATGTATCGTACAGCATTTTTTCATCTACATCAGGATCTAAATTTCCAATGAATAATGAAGCACCAACATCTAAATTCTTCTTGTCCGAAGTTGCCTATTAAAATAATAAATCAAAAGGGTAAATCAGTAGGCGGATTTTAATTAATTTATTAATTAAACACGAATTAGACGTACTTTGTTAACTCGTATAGGTTTTCCGTAAAGTTTTATCTGATTCATTATTTTGATGGCGTAATCGGCATCATCTTCACTCATATACTCGCAGAATCCATAACCTTGGTGTGTTTGAGTGACTCGATCTTTTGGCAGGTGAACGTTAACTACAGAAAAAATTAAATTTAAAGTTTAAAATTAAGTAAAATAAATCACGCCTGGATATTATAGGAAACTAACCTACAGGTCCTGCCTGAAGCATTAACTCCCAAATCAAAGCTTCAGTACAACGTTCATCCAGATTACCAATGTAGACGGTCGCATCTTGATTTCTCTCTTCTGTTGGTCGTGACATTTTGACACGAGAATTTTTTGTTGGAAAATTCCACTTATATATATTTTTTTTCATATCACGTGATTAATAATTTATTGGTTGAACGTATATACAAAAAATAAATAATTATTTGATTTACTTATAAAATTATAATTTTACTATATAACCTATTTTTAATTATTAAAATAATTGTAAATAATTTATTTATTATAGAAATTTGTTAAGTAATTTTGTTTTTTATATTTCGATTTGTATATATTAAATTTATTATACTGTACTGTATAAGAGGTTATGCCATTATTTTCTATTTAAGGCATAATCTAATCTAATCAAGAAAAAAAAATCGAGAGATACGTATTTTAGATCGAAAAAAAAAAAAAAATTGAATTTCGAAAAAAAAAAATCAATGAGCGAAACAACAGAAGAAAAATCACAAATCCAAGTTCGCTTTATTACACAACAGCGGGAGTATACAGTTACGGATTCTGCGATCCTTGTTCCAACTAACTTGCGTCGTTATGGCCTCTCCGAGATAATAAACCATCTTTTAGGTTTTGGTTAGTTGGTTTCCTTTTTCAAAGAGTTGCGATATAAGTAAAATTATTCATTCATAAGTGTTTCTTACAAGTAGAAAAGCCTATTCCATTTGATTTTATAATCAATAATCAATTCTTACGAACAAGTTTGTCTGAGTACTTAATAAAGCATGAAATATCGACAGTAAGACTAAAATTTTATGTTTTCATATCTTAGAATTCGAATTAACTTTCTTTAATAAAGGAAAACATCATCACTATCGAGTATGTTGAGTCCATGTTACCGCCGACACCATTATCATCCTTTCAACATGATGATTGGATAAGTTCGGTAAAAGGTCATAATCAAAGGTCAGAACTATAATGTTCCTTAGAAATATACATTTATCGTATCGATCTAACGATTTTTTCTACCTTCAGCTTATTCTTAACTGGCTCCTATGACAACAATGTTCGCGTATTTAATACATCTGGTGAATGCTTACAGACTTTAGTCGGACATCTAGCACCAATTAAAAGTGTTTCTTGGGTTACTGTCTCAGGTATTAAAGGAATCACCTACTTTAACGCGATTTAATTCTGGATGTTGTTTGTGGTATAAATTTATATAGTGAGTAAAAATATTTTGTAACATAGATGATAGTATTGTCTGCTTATCATCATCACAAGATCGAACCATTCGAGCTTGGCAGGTAAATAGTTTTCTATATTTTACATTGAATAAATATACGTAAACTGATTGCAAAATAACCTTTATCATTTGTCATAGGCTTCACTTGTAGATAAAAATTATAAAACTTTATATGAATGCAAAGGGCATACCGGTAGTGTTGAAAGCGTTTCTGTTCACCCTTCTTGCACTGAGGTGAGGTAAAGTATTTGAATGTTTATTCTAAAAAATGAGTTGCGTATAAATAATCTATTTGACTTTATAATTCTAGTTTGCAAGTGCATCATGGGATTCTTCGATTTTACTTTGGTCTATGGATATGCCAGAAGAAATTGAATATGATATTCTTGCAATACCCTCGAAGAAGAGAAGGTTGAACAATTCAGAAATTAAAATAAAGGTAAAGCTTATCTTTTGAATATACTACTGGTATGAACGATGACAAAGTAACATTATGTTTAATTCAGAAACCAATAACAACTATGCATGGTCATGTTGGTCCTGTTTCTTCAGTCATTTTTGACACTAAGAACCACAACAAATTGTATAGCGGTGGATGGGATCATTCTTTAAGAATCTGGGACATCGAAGCGAGGACGAATGTTGATACAAAGGTAATAATATTTATATAATTAGAAATTTCGCTCGTTGTTAACGATTTCATTTATTATTAGAATTGTGATAAGTCGGTTCTCGACATCGCATATTCAGATAAATCGGGGTTAATTGCGTCTGGGCATTCCGATCATATAGTTAGATTATGGGATCCACGTTCTGAAGGTATGTACTATTTAATAATGAATCATCTTTATATATAACAATTATTTTTCATTGTTTTTACTATTATTAGATACAGCTGTTGTCAAGTTGGCATTTGCATCTCATAAGAATTGGATATCATGTATATCATGGTCTCCAAATTCACAGTTTATGCTTGTCAGTGGATCATATGATGCATCTATTAAAATTTGGGATATTCGCAGTAAAACTCCTTTATATACTCTAAACCCAGGCGGAAAAGAAAATTTAGATAATAAAAAGATATTGTGTATTGATTGGGATTTAGATATTATTTTGAGTGGAGGAGAAGATAATAAGTTATATCTCCATGGTTCAAAAACAATTACTTGAAGTAGTAGAATTTTCACAATGTTAAAAATTTTAATAATAAAAATTTTAAAGAAAAAATTTTAATATATATTACTCAATATTTTTTAAAAAATTTTAATTTCAATTATACAGTATTATTTAAATATGAATGGATAAGTATAAACTATAAATAATAAGTATTAATATAAAAAATATATTAAATACAATTAATATAAAGATTTAAAATATAAATATAAAAATATAACATAAAAATAAAATATATAAGATAATAAATAAATAATAAATAAATAAAATAGAAATTAATATACAGTATATATTGAAAGAAAAAATATACAATATGATTTTCATATTATTTTAATGGATTTGATATTTAATTTAGTTACAAATAACTAGCTACAATATACTATTTATTATATTACTTTTTTCTATATATATAAAAAATTATTTTGTTGCTGTTTTAATTTCAAAACTCATAAAATAATTATATTATAACTTATTTATATATTTTAATAGTAATTTAATTAAATATGTCAAATAATTATATCAATTTTATCAAGAATATATATATAATATTTAATATTAGAAATATTTAAAAAAAACTTTCTTTCCTATATATAATATTTTTTTTTATTTTTAATATATGCCAATTTTTTATATTTCTTTTGTTATTATTATAAGAATCTTAAAAATTTAAAAAAATATATAGATATATTGAAATAAAATCTTTGATCAAAAAAAAAACAAGACTATAAATTTTTTTTTTCTTGAATTAAATAAAAAAAAACTTATAACAATTATTTCTTTACAAATTTTTTGAAATCTTTTTTATTTTACTTTTTATTAATATATAAATCTATCTTATTAAATTACTATATTCTTTTCTTAAAAAACTGTTTTTTAATTCAAAAAAAAAAATTTATATTAAATTGTTTATATTGTTAACTTGAAAAATCAGCAATATATACAATATACTATATATATTTTTAAAATATTTAAAATATTTTATTATATTATAAAAAATCAAAAATTTTTAATTTCTATTAATTAATTAATATTTTAAATTAAATCAATTAACATTATCAATTTTTTTTCAACTAGTCAAATCTTATTTAATGTATTTTATTTAATTTATATTTATATTTTTATACAAGATTTATTATTTATAAGTTATTCTATATACATATTAAACTATATCAAGTTTCTTTTATATTGATTTGTTTCTATTAATTTACTTTTTAAATATATGTCAAATTAATATATTAAGACTTTGCTAGTATTGTTATTATATAAAATTAAAAATTAAAGTTAATTATGTTCTTTTTCTAATCTAGTCAATTTTTTAATAATATTTATTATATAATTAATATATCTTTATATTTATTAATTATATACTTATAATTACCTAGATATTATAACAATATATATTATAAATCTTTTTTTACTTATGTACTACTATAATATACAGTTTGATACAAAAGTTTTTAAACTAATATTTTTTAATATAATTTAATAACTAATTATTTAACATAAATAAAACTTTAAATATATATTTAAATATATATTTTTTTATAACCTAATAATAAAAATATTCAAATTTTATTAATAGTTAATTAATAGTTTTATTATAAAAACATTGTTTTAAATAAAAAAAAAAAAGTAAAAAAATTATTGACAATATTTTTTAAATAATTAATTACAAATCAAATATTAAAAATAAAAAAATTATTATTAAAGTTAATTAATATATTAATTTATTAAACAAGTATTTTTTATTAAATTAAAAAAACTCTTTTTGCTGATCTCCTTGCCAACCCCAAAAACAGATATTCTCAAAAATATTTTTTTATTTTTGATAATAAAGTCTATATAATTTTTTTAAAAACCTTACTTCCCAAAGGCTAGTGCCTCTTCCACTTATCTATCTTTCCTTCTTCTAAAAACTTTGTATATTTTAATGACAAAATAAACAAAGCTTTATCCATTTGGTTTATAGCAAGAATACCTTACTGAAAAGAAAAAACCTGTTGAAAAAACATCCTTTACTATATTCTTTCTAGGTCTGAAACTTCAAAAAATAAATCACTAGTAAATATATTTCCCAAGCTTTATAAGAACCTTGGGTTTATCATAAGTGAACAACCTTCAATTTAAGACAAATAAATAAGCTAATTGGGCCTATCAAGTAAATATATTTTTCAAGCTTCATAAGAATCTTGGATCCACTATAAGTTAAAACTCCTGTAATCCAGATGGATGGATAAGTTGATAGAAACCTATCTACTTAGATGAATAATCTTTTTTCACCAGTCATATATACTTGTAATAATACTTTCAAGCATGACAAATTTTTTTTGATTTTTCTAGGGAATTTTGTTTATTTCAGTTTGTTCCTGAATTTTTTGTTACATCAGAATTTCTGATTGGTAATTGGCTGAAATTTTTTTTTGAACTAATTGATTGACATGTAAAAAAAAAGTAAACAAGATATATACTCTCACATGTTCCATGTTATGCTATACTACAACTGATAATACAATTGGATAATGACAAAAGAGCAAGGTATTGAGGTGTTCTCTTAATAAGAAGTAACTTAAAGTTTTCCTTCTCATCTCTTGTACCAGTTTCTTTTCTCTTCAAGATCATAGAAGGCTCTCATTAGACTAGTGATTGGTTTAGATAGGTTTTTATTTATCAGTACAAACTTTTTCTTTCATTTTTATCTTCCCTTTATTTCTTTAAAAAAATAAAATTTTTTTATTTCTTAGAACAACAAGGTTGTATCAAGGTAACATTCTGAAGTTAGGCTGGCTTTGATCTCTTAAAGTTAAAATTTTGATATCTAACTTTAGAAAGGAACAACTTTATTATTTTATACAATCACATTTAGAAAGTTAAAATTTGAAAAGTTTAAGATAATTAGTATCATACAGTAATAGCTTAATGAACTTACTCTCTTATAATAAAATAGTTAGTGAATAGTTAGATTATGTGGGTAATATGGTAGTCTTGATATTAAGGATTCAAGAATTACATAAAAATCTAAAACTTGTTAATAGGTATTTTACTATAATAGAATTGTTTAGCTTTAGTATAGTATCATATTATATATTGTATTATTGTTATTTAGAATTGAATTAATAAATATATTAATAATAGTTTGATTAGAGAAAAAAAAATATTGGTTTTTGATTTAATATTTTTTAAGATTGAATTAATAGTAATAAGCTAATATAAAGATAAAATTGAAATAGTCTAGTATATATTATATTTAGAATAGTTTATAAATAATAGATTTTGTAATAAATAAATAAATATTTATTTATTTAAATAAGTAAATATCATTACTTTATTATTTTGTAAAAATATAAAAATTTTATATTGTTAGCATAAAAATTATAGTAGGGGACATGATGTGACATGTGAGGCCTGGCACAGTACCACATGGGGAATTGATCATGCATTATTTATACATTATTGATAGGCACAAAGCTTGTCAAAGTTTAGCAATTCTGTATAATATAATGATAGATTTAGAGACATGTCACAGTTATATAAATAGCAATGATATCCAAATGTAAAAAAAAGAAAACAAAATTAATAAAATACTATTTACTAAAAAGCCAAGTGTTTGTACCTATGCAACAATAATTAATAAACTTACCTTATTTGTCTTTAGTTATCTTAAGAAGAATTCAGGATCTTATAGTTTAATAGAGAAAGGATTAGAGGAGGAGACTAGTTAAACATAAAAGAAGATTAGAATAATTATCAACATATATACCTTTGGTATCGCTAGCAACATAGATCCACTTATCCAATGTCACACAAGTCTTGGTTCGGATTAGTGACAGACTTGCCATTGAGTCCAACAATATAAAAAAAGTAACAATATTTCTTATATAATTAAATAATTAGTAAGTTTAATATTAACTTGTTTATGATAAACTATTTAAGCAATAAAGGAAAATAAATATTAAAATCAATACATGTCAGAAATAGTACTAAGCAATTATAAATATCTACTTAGAGTTATATGTAATAAAACTTAAAGAAAATTAAAAAATTAAATAAAAAAATACTATATAAGAAAAATATTAAAAAAACTAATTATAAAACCTATGGTATCTAGGATACTATTGATGCCTAAGTGTATTACTCTGATAGTTCCATATGATTACACTTGTCAAAATAGTCAGGCTATATACTATAGTATATAATAATATTGATAATATATTTTTTTGATAGCTAATTGATATAGATGTATTATTGTTAATTTGTTTGTTAAAGTTTTGATTGTTATAATAATAGTAGTTATTATAGTTGTAATAGTTATTATAATAGTATTGTTTATATTTGTTACTGAGAAGTATATTAAACATGTAACTTTGTTTTGATTATTATTATCAAAAATAGATTTGTTTTTGTTAATCAAAATATAATATACCAGATATATGGATTTGTTTTGATATTTGATAGTATTTAATTGATTGAGTTTAGAATAATGATTAGTTAATAGGATCAAACTAATACAGTTTTTGGTGAAAAATTTTTTGAGTAAAATTTTTTTATTTTTTATGATATAGTAAAGTATACTAAGTATTATTGAAAAATAAATATTAAATATACTATTGATTCTTCAAGCCAACAATATAAACAATTTTAATATAAAGTTTGATTTTTTGAAATAAAGAACCTTTCTTTAAGAAGAAAATATGTTTATTTAATAAAGCTTGTATATTAATAAGAAGTAAAAATAGAAAAAGTCCTAAGGAAGGAATAAAGAAGGTAAATGTTATGGATCTTTTCTTATACAATCCAAAAGAAGAACAAGATTCTCAAACTTGTTTTTTTTTGATCAGAGGTCTTATTTCAATACACCAATGAAATTTTTTTGATTTTTTTGAGGCTCTAGTAATAAAAATAAAAAAAGTATAAAGGATTTTGAGTATTGAAAGGCAAAAAAAGTATTTGTTTCTTTAATTTTAAAAAAAAATTACTAAAAAAAAAAGTTTTTAAAAAAA